TACTCATCGGACAGCGGCGTCACTGGCGTTGCAGAACTCTTTGATGCTATGCCCCCTCTGCTTTCCCTCTCTCGCGCCGCTTCTCCCACAGACTTCAACAATCATGGCCCCGACGGCCTCCTGTCCGAAGATTACTTCTCAGACTCTTCTCGTCGGCGCCAGCAGTGCGGGATGGCAGGCTGGGCCTGCCTCGCACCTTCGCAGCGCCCCCCGGGGCGACGCGCCCCCGTCAGCCGCTGCGGCCGCGAGCCCGCCGCGAGCAACGCCGGCGCGAACTCGCGGGTCGGGTGGAGAGGTAGGCCCGGAACTGGTTGCCTTCGCTGTGCGTTCACACCAGCGGTTCCGACTTCAAGCGGCGGTTGGGCATCCCCTGCGTCGCGGACATCCTGCGCTGCGAGGGATTCGAGCTGGTCTTCGGGCTCTCCATTTTGGCCCGTGGGCCAGAGAGGTATCGGGCCCCCGACTCCGGGAGGAGCTGGCGCAATGCATCTGCGTGGCGGGGTGGTGCAGCTCTGCAATTGCACGGGAGCGGCTGCGGCGGCATTTCCAGCCGCCGCGGCCTGGCGACGATCACCGACGCCTACGAGCTATTCGACTGAGGGCGTTCGAGCACCTCCGCTGGCGATCCTGGGGGCCTGGCGCGACGCGCGTGCGATGGGGCGAACGCCGAGACCTCCTTCGGGTGATGGGCCCCCCCTGCCACCAGCGCCGCCACTCCTTCTCGCGCCGCGGCGCGCTCTGCAATTTCATCTTCTGGGCGACCGATGCGGGGGTCACAGTGGCCGAGCTGACTGGGGCGACCTTGGATCCGCGTCCCTCTGCTACCCAACTGGCGGGGACTGCGCCGGCGTCGACCGAAACGACTGGATGCGATCGAGGCCGGTGCAGCCCCGCGCGAAATCGACGCGATGTCTGACGAGGAGTTCGAGCGCTCTGGGGGCTCCCTGCGATTTTCGACGGCATCGACCACAATGGCGGCCACGACATGGATTTAAACCACCTCGCGAGCCTCGCGATGGAGGCCAGCCGCGCCACTGGCAACACATCGGGCGACATCCAAACTCATCCCCACGCAGCGCTTCCTGTCGGCCAGAGTGCTGCTCGCTACCCTGACACTTGCGACCGCGTCGACGACCGCGACCGCGTTGGCAGCGGTCTTGGCAATTTTCTACGCCAGCCGGCCCCGACGGTCCAGGCGCTCCTGGCGGCGCTCCCCTCATGACGCAGGAGGGCGCCGGGGCTGCCCGCGACGGCTCGCTGGGGCGGCTAGGAATTCTGGCCCGACCGCTTCCGGGCGACCAGCTAGGCCCCGCATCTATTGGCGGCGATGGCGCGCCGCCAGCGCCGCCGTCGTCCGATTCGGCCTAGTTCGAAGCCGCGCTTGCCGCTCGCGGGTTCTCACGGTGCCTTGTTCGAACGGTGCGGGTGGGAGCTCTCGTCTTCGCCTCGGCCCTGCTTGAACTTCCGTGCCCGCGGCAGCTGCGACTGGCGGAGATGCAGAGTGTTGTGGGCCAGGGGCTGGTGAGCTGGAGCCCGACGCAGCGGTGGCGCCGCGAGGTGCCGCCCATGCGCTTCGTGCCTGCCGAGCTGCGCGACTGCCTTAACAAGCTCTGGGGCTTCCTATTGTCCCTATGTCGCCTGGAGTGGCGTCGGGCGCGGGGGCCTCCCCCGCGACCTCGCCAGAGGTAGCTGATGACGAGCGCGACGCGCATTCGCAAGTGTGGGCTGTGGCCCCATCCGCTGTTTCTATGTCGCTTGGGGGTGCGACGGAGGTGGGGGCCCCCGCGCGACCGCGCATGTGCAAGATGCGGACGCGCAAGACGCTCGTCCACAAGGGCTTCTTCTGGCTCCTCCCACCGTCTCTATGGCGCTTAGGGTCGCGACGGAGGTGGGGGCTTCCCCCGCGACCTCGCAAATCCAAGCAGCTGGCCCACAATATGCGCTTCCACCTGCGCTGGTACTGGGGCAAGGCACTGTCCATATGTCGCCTGGGCCCGCGACGGAGGTGGGGGCCTTCCCCGCGACCTCGCCTGGTGATGCGGCTGGCGCGCGCGGGCAACCGTCGTGATGATGGAGACGGATGTCCTCGCAGGGACAAGCAACGTCGAGCAGATCGTCGACGGCGCCGACGCGGACAGTGCGGCGGCCCGCCGCGTCAACGACGGCGAGACGCCGACCCGCGAGGACACCGCCCTCGACCTTGCTGGCCCCCCGCCAGGTGGTTCGCAGTTCGACTGCGACGAGGGCGACGCCGCCGTCGACCTCGACCTCCCGCAGGCGCCAACCGACGAGGCGCTGAGTGGCGAGCGCCGCCGCGGCCGCGGCTGCGGTGCCTAGAGCAGCTGGGGAAACCCGCGCTCTGGGGTCGCTCCCTCCTCCTCCTCCTCCTCCTCCTCCTCCTCCTCCTCCTCCTCCTCCTAACCCGCCTCGCCCACCTCGCCCAGTTCTTCGGTCTGCCGCCCAAGCTCTTGCGCAAGGAGTTCCACGCGCTCCACGAAGTGCTGCGGCTCCCGCCTTCAACCGTCCGCTTTGCCGACGTCGACGCTTGGTCCCCGACCGCGGCGGCCGGGTCGATGCAAGCTCTGGCGGCTGGGAAGTTGTGGCGCACGGCGGAGTTCACGATTACGACCTTGACCGCGATTTGCAGCGGCTGGAGGCTGTGGCGTCCCGCTTGGTTGTGCCCCCGCGACTGGCGGCTAGGCAGTGGTCGCCTCCCTTCTGGCGCATGGGCACCGGCCATCGTGCAACGGCTTGCGGCCGCGCCCAAGGACCGTCCCATGGAGGCCCCCGCCCGTGCGTTCCCGCTGTGCGGCGAGGGTGGCCAAACGCGCTGTTCGGTTGTCCGTGACAGCTGGCACGCGCCGTCACCCGCAGAGGGCTTTCGTTCAGTCCTTCGAGGCGGCGACCCACCCCGATACCTTTGACGCGACCCTGAGGAAGAGGCTCGCTACCTGGACCGAACCCGAGCTGATCCCACGTGACCTCCGACAAGGGTGGCGGCATTTGAAGCTCCAGCATGGCGGTGTATCGTCTTGAGGACCATTGCGGGCGGGTGGCACGCGAACTACAGCATGCATGTCCTTGCTGTGCGGCGCGCCTGTGTATTCGGATTCCGACACAGGCGCGACGATATCAACCACTACCTGAACTGCCGCCACGCCCTTCCCTGGCTGCCTCGCCCTCGAAATTTCCTTCATGACGATCTGCTGCATCGTTTCGGACTGGCCCGAGATAAGGCGTACCACGGCGATCCACGGCACAAGCATTTCAGGTTCACGGCAATGCGCAACCTCGTGTTGTTGTATAACCTGTACCTAGCGGTCAAGCCTACGGCTTCGTCCGCAAGGTCACCTACCTTCACATATGCCCTTCGCAAGGCGTGCCACAAGGCGGCGCTGGACCGCCTTAGCGACAACAACCACTGAGTCGGCGGCCCGCGGCTGCGCGGCCGCCCGCCGCCGACCAGACCCTCTGAGGGTACTGGCGTTCCTGCTCCTCCTCCTCTCCCCGCCTCTGCTCCCACCTATCCTCATCCTCTTGTCAGCTTCTCGTCCCCCTTCTTTTCCTCCTCCTCCTCCTGCTATGCTCCCTCTTGTTGTTCCCGCACGCTGCGCCTACACTGACAGCAAAGACTTCCTCCTCCTTTTCCCCTCTGCCTTGTTATCACATGTCTCGCACTGTAAATGTCTTGACACGCCAGGGTCCAGAGGCCACGGCCTCACCCACTCGGTTTGAGCTAGGCCCGGACGTTTGTCCGCAGCGGTGGTCGTTCATTCGTTCGTTCTCTCCCCCCCGCCCTCATCCCTCCCCGCCCGCCCGCCCGCCTTTCTGGCGCAGGCGGAGCTGGTGGCTCGCGCGAAGGCGCTGCTGGAGGAGACGGCAGCCTGGTTGTGTGGAAGTGAAGGCCACGGCACGACGGCGCAAAAGGTTTTCCCAGCAGGTATTCGTAACAATCGTGCTCTTGTCTTGGACTTTATCATCTGCTACTCTGGAATCACGCCTTCGCTGCTCAGAAATCATTCTCTCGCTTGGGAAGGATGATGATGCTGATAATGCTGGTGATGCTGATGGTGATGCTGATGGTGATGGCGGTGATGACGATGCTGATGCGGAGGATGATGATGACGATGATGCAGATGATAATGCTGATGATGAGGATGCTGATGATGGTAATGATGGTGATGCTGCTGATGGCGATGGTGATGATGGTGGTGATGATGATGACGGAGGGTGACTAAAGAGGGCGACGGATGGTGTCGGAAGGGGTATCGAGATGGAATACCCAGCTCGATGAATGAAACAGTGTGCGTTTGTGCGCCCTGCGTTCACGGATCTGATCTGTGCTTCCGCAGCGCATGGGCGGGATATGTGCGCCTGCGTCGCAAAAGTGTGCGCGCTTGCGCTTATTGTTTTTTTGTGTGATCCTTCGTGACAGTTCGCACGATCCGTGGGCGCGGCTCCTGCTCGGGCTTTCGTCTCTGTCGTCGTCGCCGTCGTCGTCCCCCTCCTCCTCCTCCGCCTCCTCCTTCCACCTCGCTTCCGACGCTGTGCCTTCGCCCTTCCCCTTCCTTGTCACCCCCCTTGCTCATCTCGTGCCTCGGCCCTGCGCCCGTCCTGCAACCCGCGCATCGCCAAGGGAGGCCGCGGCGAGGAAGCCTCCGCCTGAGGACGACGCGCGCAGCCAGCCTGCCGAGAGTGTTCGCAGCCTGCCGCGGAGAGCCAGCGCGAGGCCGACACGGCTCCGAGTCAACATTATTGTTGCACCCGCATAATCCGGAATCCTTCCCAAACACCGTTTCTGGTACGTTCATCATGGGAACCCGTGAAACTCTTGCAAATATTTCAAACGAACGTGCGCGGCGCTAAGGCGGGAACCACATTTTGTGAAGAGAAGCCGCCCTCGCTAGGCAGCCACAAGAGGCGAGTGTTTGGTCTTCAACGGAGTCTTGCAAATTTTTAAAGCGAATGTGCGCGGCGCTGAGGCGCGAGCCACTTTTTCAAAACCACCCGCCCTCAATCCGCGAAGCTCTTGTGGCAAATGTATAAAACGAATGTGCGCGGCGCTAAGGCGAGAACCACATTTTGGAAACCATCCGCCCTCAACCCGTGAAACTCTTGTAATTTTGAACACGGGCGTGCTCGGCGCTGAGGCAAGAGCCGCATTTTGAAAGCAACCCTCCCTCAATCCGTCAAACTCTTGCAAGTTTTCAAAGACCATGTGCGCGGCGCCAAGGCGAGAGCCACATTTAAAAAACCACCCGCCCTCAATTCGTGAAGCTCTTGTTGCACATTCTTTTAAACAAATGTGCGCGGCGCTGAGGCGAGAACCACATTTTGAAAAGGAGCCGCCCTCAGCCCGTGAAGCTCTTGCAATTTGTACAACGAGTGTGCGCGGCGCTACGCCGAGAGTTACATTTTGAATACGACCCGCCCTCCATCTGTGAAGCTGTTGTCATTCTTAAGCTGCAGAGCCATGAGTGGTGAGGAAGTCTCAGGCGAAACGCCCAGCATGCCCTAACAACTGGCTTCGGGGTGCGACAGGGAGAAGTCAGTAATAAGGGGAAGGAATGGAGGAGTGGAAGGGGGAGGAGGATGACGAGGACGATAACGACGAGAAGGTCGAGGATGCTGCCGCCGACGAGGCCGCCGCCGCCGCCGACAACGACGACGACGACGTCGAGGACGTCGAGGACGACGAGGACGACGGCGGTGGCGGCGCGGCGGCGGCGGCGGCGGCGGCGACGAGGACGACGACGACGACGACGACGATAGCGACAGCGATGGCGATTATTGCGGCGGCAACGGCGACGGCGGCGCGGTGACAATGGCGGCGGCGACGACGACGACAGCGGCGACGACGGCGGCGACGACGACGACGACGATGGCGACCTGCGCAGGACTACAACCCGCCCGCGGCGCGCAGCCGTGGCCCGCCCGCCGCGCTCGCCGCAGAGGCGCCTGCCAGTGAGGAGCGAGGCAGGTAGGGAGGCAGGGAGGCAGAAAGGAAGGAAGGACGGGAGGGAGGGGGGGAGGGATGACCAGCAGACGCGGAACGATGAGGGCAAGACATGGGACGTAATTGTCGAAAAGAAGGAGGCGGAGGACGAGGGGAGAGGAGGAATCGTACCAAGATGGGTGATCAGGAGATGCATGACCAGAAGATGCATGAGGAGGAGTGTCGGAGGAGGAGGAAGAGAAGGAGGAGGAGGAGGAATAGGAGGAGGAGGAGGAGGAGGAGGAGGAGGAGGAGGGGGAGGCGGATGAGGAGGACGAGAGAGAATTTTCGGGAGAAGCGTGATGCCGCCGTTGGTGTTCATGATGGCTATGGCGAGGATGTTGCGAGTGCTGATGATGCTGATGATGATGCTGATGGTGGTGGTGATAATATTGGTGCTGATGGTTTTTGGTGATGGTGATTCTGCCATGCCGCCCATGATGATGCTTTTGCCGTTGTTGGTGATGATGATGATGCTGATGATGATGATGATGCTGATGATGATGCTGATGATCATGTCCAAGGGTGGATGAATCAAATGGTGCGGCGACGATGGGGAGTAGGAGGAGGAGTAGGAGGAGGAGGATGAGGAGGAGGAGGAGGGGATGGAGGAGGAGGAGGAGGAGAAGGAGGCGGAGGAGGGGGAGGAGGAGTATTGTAAACCCAAGATCCGTCAACGATACTGCAATCAACCCTCCCTCCAAGTTCCATCTTCATAGGCCCCTACACGGATTAATTTTCACTGAGGGAAGTGCCCGTTGGAAATCAATCAAATTTGAGTCGTAATATGTGCCAGAACATCGTGCCTGGGACTTCAACACCACGAATCAACGCAGTTGTAGCGCCCTGACAGTCCGACACCATGCCAAAAGACCGCTTTTGGAATGTTAGCCATGCAAATCCTTGAAACCGATCTGGCATCTTAAAAACGGATGTGCGCGGCGCTAAGGCGAACACCACATTTTGAAAATGAGCCATTCTCCATCCGCGGAGCTGTTGCAAACTCCTTCCGTGAAGCTGCTGCAACATGTTAGCAGTGCGCGGCGCTAGGGCAAGAACCTTATTTTGGAACGGACCCGCCCCCTCATCCGTGCAACTGCTGCACATGTCAAGTTGCAGGATCAAATATGGTGAGGACATCGCACGTAAAACGCACGGCCCGCCCTTCGGACCGGCTTAAGGTTGCGACAGGGAGGAGTTATTCACAAGAAAAAAGAATAGAGGAGGAAAAGGAGGAGAGGGAGCAGTAGGAGGAGGAGGAAGAGGCGGAGGAGGAGGAGGAGGAGGAGGAGGAGGAGGAGGAGGAGGAGGAGGAGGATGGGCGAGGAGGAGGAGGAGAAGGGGGAGGAGGAGGAGGAGGAGGATGAGAAGGAGGAGTGAGAGGAGGGAGAGGAGGAGGAGCAGTAGGAGGAGGAGGAGGAGGAGGAGGAGGAGGAGGAGGAGGAGGAGGGGGAGGAGTAGGAGGGATAGGAGGAGGAGGAGGAGGAGGAGGAGGAGGTTGAGGAGGAGGACCAGTCTAAACCTAAGACCCATAAACGGTATTGCAATCACTCCTTCCTCCAAGTTCCCCCTTCGTAGGCTCCTACACGGGTTCATGTTCACCGAGGGAGTGCCTCGTTGGAAAACAACCGTTTGAACATCCGGAATTGTGCCAAAACGCAATTTCTAGGATTTCAACGCCGCGAGTCACCCTTACTGCTGTGCCTTGACGATCCGGACTCGTGCCAGAACACCATTCCTAGGATTTCAACACCTCGAATCAGCGTAACTGTTCCGCCCTGACATTTCGACATCGTGCCAAAACACCATTTCTGATACGTTCGCCATCAGAATCCTGGAAACTCGTGCGAACTCTCAAGACAAATGTGTGCGGCGCTAACGCGAGAGCCACATTTTGAAGTGGAGCCGCCCTCCCTCCGTGACGCTCCTGCACACTTATAGAACGAAAATACGCGGCGCTAAGGCGAGAGCCACACTTTGAAAACGGACCGCCCTCCATCCGTGAGCTCGTGTAAAGTTGTAAAGACGAGTGCGTGCGGCGCTGAGGCGAGAGCCACAGTTTGAAAACGGACCGCCCTGCATCCTTAAAGCTCTTGCAGTGGCTATAGACGAAACTGATGTGCGTGGCGCCAGGGCGAGAGCCGCACTTTGAAGACTGACCGCCCTCTATCGTGAAGCTGTGAGGACGTCTCAGGTGAAACGCCCGGCCCGCCCTTTCGACTTGCCTCGGGGTGCGACAGGGAGGAGTTCACAAGACAAATTAATGGAGGAGGAAGAGGAGGAGAGAGAAGAGCAAGAAAAGGAGGAGGAGGAGGAGGAGAAGGAAGAGCAGGAGGAAGAGGAGGAGGAGGAGGAGGAGGAGGAGCGTTGGATTCCTTATTCGGGAGGCCTTGCGCGAGGCCGCACCGTGACTTGCGCAAAACAACAACTAAGCCGTACCGATTACCACTCAAAGACAAAGGATCAAGTCGGCGGAAACCTCACCACCAGCAGGCTCCTCGTGGACGCGTCGGGCAGGGCGCGCACGCAGCTTCGACTGTACGCAAATGTCGCAATTTGCGTCGTCCTCGGTGTGCCCCGTCCGAAAATGATCCAACAGCACGGCGTCGACCTCAGGGGAACGACGGGGTGCTGCACCGAAGCCGTCTGGGAGGTACACCATGAGCTTCTGGGAGCCGTGGTGCTGCAGGTACTCGATGGCGTCGTGGCGCGTGTCCAGGACGACGGCGGGCTCTTGCCGCAGGGCGTGTCCAGCGTGAGTGAGGTGCGTGCTCCCCGCGCCGATGCCGGGGGTGACGGGGCCAGGTCCTACGAACGGGAGCTGGGGCGGCGAATTTTCAGCCGGCCGTGACACAGAAGCACAAGTGTCCCCATCGCCGCCCGGACGGGCAGGCTTTTCAGAAATAACGACCACTCTGCGTCCGGCCGGCCGTGACTCAGCAGCGCAGCTATCAACAGAGGGTCGCGGAGGACCACGGCGACGAAGACGGGCGGCCGATCCACTCTCATCTCCTTCCTCCTTCTCCTTTTCGGGCTCCTGATCCTTGGACGTTACTTCCGAGCACAGTATCTGACTACCACCACCAAGATCGATAATAATATACGATGCGATTTGGTGCAGTTTTGCTCTGGTGAAAAGCCCGCAGCCCCCCCCCCGCCGCCAACGGCAACCGGGCTGCCCCCTCCCCCTTAAGGACCGAAACAGAATTCATCAAAGCACGCGCGGTGGTGGTGTATATAATTTTGGTTACCAAGGGGAGCGATTTTTATACACCACCACCAAGAAGTGCTGTTTCTGTTTCAGGAACTCCCCATGCCACGGCGCCTGCGAGCTGCGCCGCGCTCCTTTTCGCCGTGGCGTCGCAGCGTCGTCTGGCATGACCCTGCCCCTTACCCTTTTTGCGGAAAATTATTGTTGCGGGCGGTGGTGGTGTATACAAATTGGCCTCGCATTATTGGGGTGAAAGAGCTTAAGAAGTACATATTCTTCTCCCGATCCAATTGAAAACCCATCCCTGTGGGGTTTATCATAATAGCTCCATGACGTCGTTGTACGTGATCCCAGCCCCCGTCGGTAAGCGAAATTCTAGCAAGTAAACTAGTGGTAGCAGTTTCACATAAGAGAGGCAACATACTAGCCACACGCCGCCGCAAAAGGCGTCGGCTCACTCCCGGACCACAGTCTCACTGTTTGCTGTTTCTAAAATCAACGGCTGATCCAACAGCCGCTGGTTGATGGCGAAGACGAAAGCCTGTCCGAACGAAATGTGCTTTTCCGCCCCTGTGTCCGCAATCATGCGCAGGCCTACGTTTGCGGCGGCAAGATTTGCACCGAGGTTCGAAATGGGAACGGGGACGCGGAGCATCTGGCCCGAGAGTTTTCGTAGCAGGTTTTATGTGTCCTTGTAGTTGGATTTTTGCTGGTCCATGTAGTGGTGCGCTAGCGAAGTGAGACTCTCCAAAGTATCTGGTGGAGCAGTAGCTTGTGGCGGGACAGGCGGTACC